TTATTCGTCCGAGTGTGTCACCGTGGGGTGCACCAGTGTTGTTGGTTAAGAAGAAAGAAGGTTCTATGAGATTCTGTATGGACTACAGACAATTGAACAAGGTGACTATCAAGAATAAGTATCCACTCCCGAGGATTGATGATTTGATGGATCAGTTGGTTGGTGCGAGTGTGTTCAGTAAGATAGATTTGAGATCGGGTATCATCAGATTCGTGTGAAGGCTGAGGATATTCAGAAGACTGCTTTTAGAACGAGGTATGGACATTATGATTATTCTGTGATGCCATTTGGTGTGACTAATGCACCAGGTGTATTTATGGAATACATGAACAGGATTTTCCATCCTTATTTGGACAAGTTTGTGGTGGTGTTCATTGATGATATTTTGATTTATTCGAAGAGTGAAGAAGAACATGTCGAGCATCTGAGGATTGTGTTATCCGTGCTGAAAGAGAAGTCGTTATATGCTAAACTTTCTAAGTGTGAATTTTGGTTGAAGGAGGTGAGTTTCCTTGGTCACGTGATTTCGAGTAGAGGTATTACAGTTGATCCGTCGAAGGTTGAAGCGGTATCGCAATGGGAGACTCTGAAATCAGTTTTTGAGATTAGAAGTTTTCTTGGTTTGGCGGGATATTATCGGAAATTCATTGAAGGATTTGCCAATTTATCTTTACCGTTGACGCAGTTGACTAGGAAAAGTCAAGCTTTTGTTTGGGATGCAAAGTGTGAAGGAAGTTTTCAAGAGCTTAATAGGAGATTGACGACAACTCCTGTTTTGATTTTGCCCAATCCGACAGAACCGTTTGTTGTGCATTGTGATGCTTCCTTGTTGGGTTTGGGAGGTGTGTTGATGCAAGATAAACAAGTGGTAGCTTATGCTTCGAGGCAACTCAAAGTGCATGAGAAGAATTATCTGACGCATGACCTAGAGTTAGCCGTCGTAGTATTTGTGGTGAAACTTTGGAGGCATTATTTGTTTGGGTCGAGATTTGAGGTATTTAGTGATCATAAGAGTTTGAAGTATCTCTTTGATCAGAAGGAATTGAATGCAAGGCAGAGGAGATGGTTGGAACTTATGAAAGATTATGATTTTGGTTTGAATTACCATCCGGGTAAAGCAAATGTGGTAGCTGATGCATTGATTAGGAAATTGTTGCATATGTCGATGATGATGGTGAAAGAGTTGGAATTGATTGAGCAATTTCGCGATTTGAGCTTAGTGTGTGAGAAGACTTCCTACGGATTTAAGCTTGGTATGTTAAAGCTTACTAGTGGTATTCTTGACGAGATTCGAGAAGGACAGAAATCTGATTTGAGTTTAGTTGATCAGTTGAATTTGATCAATCAAGGTCAATGTGGTGATTTTCGGATTGATGAAAATGGTATCATGAGGTGTCGTGATGGAGTTTGTGTTCCTGATGTTGTTGAGCTGAAAAAGAGCATTCTTGAGGAAGGGCATCATAATGGATTGAGTATTCATCCGGGTGCTACTAAGATGTATCAAGATTTGAGGAAAGTATTTTGGTGGCCTCGTATGAAGAAGGATATTGCCGAGTTTGTGTATTCTTGTTTGACTTGTCAGAAGTCAAAGATTGAGCATCAGAAATTGTCAGGCTTGATGTAACCGTTGTTTATTCTTGAGTAGAAATGGGATAGCATTTCTATGGATTTTGTATCTGGTTTACCGAGAACGCCGAGTAATTTTGAAGCTATTTGGGTTATTGTGGATAGATTGACCAAATCTGCTCACTTTATTCCTATGCGAATGGATTACCCGCTGGAGAGATTGGTAAAGCTGTACATTGAAAAGATTGTCAGTTTGCATGGTATTCCGTCTAGCATTGTGTCGGATAGAGATCTAAGGTTTACTTCGAGATTTTGGGAGAGTTTGCAAAGTGCTTTGGGTACGAAGTTGCGTTTGAGTTCTGCTTACCATCCGCAGGCTAATGGTCAGACAGAGAAGACGATTCAATCACTTGAGGATCTTTTGAGAGCTTGTGTGTTGGAGAAGGGAGGAGCTTGGGATAACTACTTACCTTTGATTGAATTCACTTATAACAACAGCTTTCATTCAAGTATTGGTATGGCACCGTTTGAGGCATTATATGGTAGACGGTGTAGGACGCCATTGTGTTGGTATGAATCTGGAGAGAGTTCTGTGGTTGGACTTGAGATAGTCCAATAGACTACCGATAAGATTAAGATGATTCAAGAGAAGATTTCTCAGAGTCATCAAAAGATTTATCATGACAATAGGAGGAAAACACTTGAATTTAAGGAGGAAGATCACGTGTTTCTTCGAGTCACTCCGATGACTGGTGTTGGTAGGGCATTGAAGTCGCGTAAGTTGATGCCGCATTTTATTGGTCCTTATCAGATTTTGCAGAAGATATGAGAGGTAGCCTATCGGGTTGTTTTACCGTCGTCGCTTGTTAATCTCTATGACGTGTTCTATGTATCTCAGTTAAGGAAATACATTGCGGATCCGTCTCATGTAGTCCAAGTAGATGATGTGCAGGTGAGAGATAACCTGACTGTGGAGACATCACCTATGCGGATAGAGGATCGGGAGTTGAAGCAACTTCGAGGCAAAGAGATTGCTTTGGTGAAGGTCGCGTGGGGAGGACCGGTTGGTGGAAATGTGACCTGGGAACTTGAGAGTTAGATGAGGGAGTCATATCTCGAGTTGTTTGAATCAGGTAACATTTTTGAGGACGAAAATTCCTAAAGTGGGGGAGGGTTATAGCAGCCCAATTTTTTTAATAATTAATTATTCATATTAAACAATTGATTTATTTGGATTGTTTTAATTATTGGAATTATTGGTAGATATTTGAGAGAAGAAATATAATGGAAGGAAATAGAATGGAAAGAATATAAGGAAAAGTGGAAAGAAAAGGAAAAGATAGAAACATAAGAGAAAGAGAAGAGAAAGAAAGGAGAAGAGGAGAATAGAGGAGGAAGAAAGGGAAACAGCTTGGAATCATCAAGAACAACTCCTAGCTTTCGATTTAATCAAGGTAAGGGTGTGAAATATCATTATATTGTTAATGTGTATGATTATGTATGATTGGTTTGGATTGTTTGGATGTTTTTCTCCATTTTCCATTCTAGGGCATATATGAGTTTAATCGGTAGAATCAAGGTTTTAACGGTTGGAATCCGGAATAAGTGGTGTAGATTAGTCGAGGATTGTTAGACTAAGAGTACTGGAACTCGTTGGAATTGAATCGGGTGATTTTGGGAGTTTTGGAGAGTGAGGGTTTTGAACATCGCAGACGTTCGCTAGCACCTTCGCTAGGCGAGCAGGTCGCGAGTGTTCGCTAGCAACTCGCTAAGTGAGCAAGCTAGAGAGTGGTCCCAGACTTGGACATAATGTATTTGATTTTGTTCGCTGGTAGCGAGTGAGGTAGCGAAGGATTCGCTAGAACCTCGCTGCAGCGAGTAGGTAGCGAAGCCTTACAGTAGCTTCTGTTTGCCTTCGCGAGCTTGTTCGCTAGGAGCTCGCTAGGTGAGCAAGCTAGCGAGTGTGACAACATTTTCATTTGTTTGTGGTTTTCCATCCAATGTTGATTGTTTGGTTCGATTGTGTTCAATATTTATCATAAATGAATAGTTTGTGTACTGTTGTGATGTGATATGCTGTGGGTAGCCGTATGGCGTGAATCCTAGATTGTGAAGTATTGTGAAATGCATGTTGAATGTATGCAATATTGTGAATAATGCATGAGAACATATTGTGAATATGTGTGCATTGCTTGATAAATATGATGATGTTGAAAGTATGAATACTTTGATATGATGTGTGAGTGTGCAATCATGTTATAATTCTTGTGTGATGAATTATTTGATAATGTATGGGATTAAGATGCGAGAACGGTCTTAAGTGCATTTGTTGGTTGATTGCATACGCATCATTTAGTCAAGAGGCAGTGCTTGCTAGTTTCGTGGAGACTAGTGACTTGTCCCAAACCTAGAAGGGTGGGTTTGAAAGCTTAGAGGACGGGATTTTGTTGTTATCGGTCTAGGGGACGGACCTGGTTTAATGTAAAAACCGAAAAATGATAACAAGTGTTGGTACCACATGGCATGAGTTGCATTGAGTTGCATTGAGTTGCATTGAGTCACATGGAATAGAGATAAATGTTTTGTGAATGTATGCATATGTGTATGTTATGTGGATTGATGAGAATTATGAACGTGTACATGATAAATATGTTTGTTGATCATTCCATATTTGTTTCTATATACATATATTGTGATGTATATGATGGTGATAATGAATTATGGTGAGAAATGTGGAATATGTGTATTCTATGCTTGTGTGCATATATATGTGATTATATACATTGATTATTATGATAATATTTTTCACCCTTCTGCTGTTTTATAATGCTCTATGAGGCATTGCAGATTAACTTTGATGGAAGTCTTTTGTGAAGTATAGCTTCATTCTTTTGGTCGGTTAAGCTCTGATATGTAGCACCGGGTAGTTAAGATTATATAGCATTCTTTTGAGATACATTTGTATATGTATCTGATGACAAATGTTTATGTAAACATGAATGATGTGGTGAATCAAACTTAATGATATGTATTTATATGATTAGCATGTTTAAAGTGATTCAATGTTTAGATTTTCCACTTTTAATTCTAAATATTGAAATGTGGGTGTAGGGACTAAGTTCCTCTGTTGAAACTACCCCACTGTTGCATGTCTTTTATCGAGCAGGCGTTGTATGTTAATTTCGTGATGATGTGACATACCTCTTTCATACCATGTTTTATTTATACTCTGATGAAATTTTAATACGTGTTAAATGATTTTTTTTTTTATTTGGGGGTATAGAAAGGGGGTGTTACACAAGGTTTGGCTATTAATATACCAGAAACAAGTCTCCTAGAAAGGTATTTAGTTTTCATGAGCGACGGTCAAATTGAAGAATTCTTGGTTTTGAAAGTCCAGCCCGGCTTGGTGAGACAAGTTTTGTTCATAACCTTCAGATTACGCAGGCCAAGCCCGCCTTGCATCTTGGACTTACATGTAATGCTCCAATTAATAGAGTGGAGATGCTTTTTCTCACTAGTGCACCCCATATGAAAGTGCATGGACGTTGATGAATTTTCCGGATGTAGGCTTTGGCAATCTCCACAATCATCATAGTGTAAGTGGGTAAGGCTTTGATCATCGCTTTAGCAATAAGAAGTCTTCCAGTAGAGAGGGGCGTATTACCAAAGAACATGATGCAGGTTTTGTCCCTATTGATCATTTGCCCGAAGGAGTAACAGAACTTAGAAAGGGTGTTCATTACCACTTGAATTTGAGATTCAGTGGCTACACCAAAGAGAATATGATCATTATCAAACATAAGATGGAAGATTCTACAATCCTTATTACCAATCTTCAAGCATTGCCAAGTTTTTTGAATGAAGGTGCAGATGTTCTCACTCGTTTGCTCCCAGGTTTTTTGAAAGAAACCTATTGGAAATCCGTCAGGACTAGAGGATTTCCAAGCCGCCATATCTAAAAGATCTTGCTTAACCTCAATATTGTTCAGCTCAGAACCTAAACAATTTAAAGCACTATTATTTAAGGCAGGAAACCATTAATGGGTATGAAACCATTCAGCAGTGTCAATCTCAGAAGTGAAGAGGTTTTTTAAATAGTTTTGAATCATGGTTTCTGTAACTTCCCTGTATTCATCCCAAGTATTGTTGTTGTCTTTAAGCATGTTGATGGCTTTTCTGCATCTTCTCTGCACAACTCTAGTGTGATAGAACTTAATATTTCTATCTCCATCCACCAACCAGTTGACTTTGGGCCGTTGAAACCAAATCATACATGAATGTAAAAGGATATAAGATAGAATAAGCTCATAGCTACCACAAGATACTAGATTGCCTCTTACTACATGAATAACACAATACTTGAGCAAACTTGCAATATTAAATTCTCTCTTCAATTATCGGGTTTCATCCTTAAGGTTGCGGAAACCGTCAATCAGGTCCTCATGTAGCTGAGTAAATTTGGCAACCAAAGCAGGTTCCCCTTCAGCAGGATCCTCAAATTTCTGAGACCTGCAACCTTAAATTATCTCTTTAATTGTGTCTTTTAAGCAATCCCTTCATTTCTTGATTTCAGGTTTTTATTTTACAAGGTGTTTGTAAAATAAAAACCTTGTAAAATAAAGTATTATATTTATGTTGCATAGATCATGGAGACAAAGTATTTCATATGCAGCATATCAAAACTTTTTTCATTGATCTCTTATTTTTCATTTTGATGTTACAAGTGTTGTGTGAATACTAAAATGATAACAATTAAAAAAACAAAGATATATTTTACCCCTGTAATATAAATGATTTTTTATTTACCCCCTTGTAATAAAAAAAATTAATTTTGTTTTTAAAAAAAATCTAAATTTTTTTTTAAAAAAAAATGTAAATGAAAAAAATTTATAAAGAAAATGCCACTTGAAATTTTTTAAATTATTTTTTATTATTTGCAGACGTGGATTTTAAAAAAATAATAATAAATTAAATTAAATGACACTTATACACATCATGTCAGCAAATAGTGCATTCAAGGGTCATAGTGAGGGAATCTTCGTATTACAAGGGAGAACTTAAAAAATATCTTTTACATGGGATAAACCAAAACTCTCTAACATTGCAAACAGGTGTTGTATATTTAACCTTAAAATTTTTATAAAAGATATTATTTAAAAAATATTTTTAACTTCTTTTAAAAACGTTATTATCACATAACATTCATACAATTCGCTCTTAATTTAACAATAAAATTTCATCACATTAATTTTCATCTTATTCACCAAAACATAATTAGATCCAAATATTATATATATATATATATATATATATATATATATATATATATATATATATATATATATATATATATATATATATATATATATATATATATATATATATATATATATATATATATATATATATATATATATATATATATATATATATATATATATATATATATATATATATATATATATATATATATATATATATATATATATATATATATATATATATATATATATATATAATTGAAGAGCGGACAACAGAAAAGTGGAAAGTGAGACATTGGTTCGACAGAGAAATGATGAGACTAGTTTATTGAACTGTGAAATTGTTGAAGTGAGGAATGAAGTATTGAAGAGTTTAAATATGAATTGACTAATAGAATTTGAATGAAATCTGAAAGGTTTTTTTCAAAGAAAATTTCAAAAAGATGAAAAAATAAGGTATATTAAACTAATGATATTTAAATGATTTTTATAATTTATTAAGGATATGGATATCTGCGGGCACAGATGTTATTAAACTCGTATCCATATCCAATAACAAACAAGTATTTAAATATTTATTTATTTTATCTATGAATATCCATTAAGCTACTTGCCCCATATCCGTGACGGATTTTTATCTGCGGATACAAATTTTGTTGTCATCCCTAATCATTATTTGACATGCATTTATTCATTATTATCAAATGGTTAAATCTACCCCTTAAATTGCAACGTTTGTGTTCTTCGTAACCTATAACCTAGTTCTGTTTCGTTTCTTTTGTCCCCTTATATCTCAGTTGTAGAAGTTACTCATTGTTGACCTGAGATTTTCTGACCAAGGAAAATCATGTCAATGTTTGCACATGGTGAAATGCTAAGTGTAACAAATGATGAACATGAGTTGACAGTGTTGGCACGTCGACGAGATGACCTCGACTGATATCTTAAGGTGTTAGTCTGATAAATCTCAAGGTGATATCTTGATAAATGAATTGAAAAAGTCGCAGGAATAAACCTAAGAGGTTATTCGGCGCTATGTCGAGAGAAGACTCTCCGACAGACTTTGGATACTTAAAAGATTGAGGAAAGACCTTGGTAAACTCTGTTATTTTTTGATATTAAGGTAGCCCAATCTAAAGACGGTCTGGTAATTTTCCAGCAGAAATATGCTATGGATATTTTGAAAGAAACAGGTTTGTTGAACGTTAAATCAACTGATACTCCTATGAATCCAAGAGTTAAACTCCTACCAAATCAGGGAGAGTCTCTATCTGACTCAGTTAGGTATAAGAGATTGGTTGAAAAGTTAAATCATCTCACAAACACACGGCCGAACATTTCTTTTACAATGACTGTGGTAAGGCCGTTCTTAAATTCTCCTTGCCAAGAACACAAGAACGTTGTTATCCGAATTCTAAAAAACATTAAATGTGCTCTAGAAAAATGTCTCATTTATGATGATAAAAGACATATTCATATAGTTAGATATTCTGATGCTAATTGGACAACCTCATCCAATGATAGACAATCCACCTTTGAGTATTGTGTACTTGTTGAAGGAAACATGATATCCTAAAAAGTAAAAAATAAAATTTAGTTGCAAAATCCATCGTTGAGGCAGGATATGTGGTTATGGCACTAATAATATGTGAGCTCGTTTGGTAGAAGCAACTGTTCAAAGAACTTCAAATTAAAAAAATAATACCGATGACACTGATTTGTGATAACCAAACTATATTGCATATTGCTTCAAATCTAACGAGAACAACTTTATGTAATTAATAGGATAAGTTGCATTGCATACCCTAGCATATTCCTTATGCAATTAATTCGATAAGTTTTGTAAATCTCACAATATAATAAAGCCTCGGTAATGCTATTCAACAGTGACAAATGTGTAGACACAAAATTTTAGACCCTATCCTACATATGTAGTAGCCCACCTTACACTCTTTAATAATCGGTTATGCTAATACCACTTTATTTATTGGATAGTTAGTTGGCAATCTATCAAAATTACTTAGTCTATAACAACCAACTAAGTGAACTATTAGTGATTCACACTTCAACAAAGATAATGAGAATATGTCTTACAATATAAACATAATTGAAACCGTTTGAATAAGGTGATACAAGTTTCTTTCACTAGGTCTTGTGTTAAAATTCAAGTTTGAGAATGAAAGACGGTTGAAAATTCTTCGGGGTATTTTTCTCTTATTTGAATTTCACACTTCCAAAATAAATAAGTTTGAAAACAACTATTTGAAATATAGAAAGGGGGAGAAACAGTCTCATCATTGTAGTTTAAAAAAATGGGTTTCTCTCTAATCTTGTTTTGTAGATGTCCACGCAAGCAGCATAGATCCTCATGTGGCAGTGTTATTGTTTGACCAACCATTCATCTTAATGAATATGTCAAGTTGGCAACTTCCTCTCTAATCCATGCCAAGTCTTCCATGATCTTGCACACACATGTATATATATAACCAAAGCATGATAATCAAGAATCACACCCTTCAATTTCCTTAATATAATTCTCCACAAAGAAAAAAAAAGAAAAAAAAACTACATAATCTTTTTGTATAGATCTCTAAGGAACTTTTTCAATTTACAACAAGTCAAAAAGAAAGAAAAAAAATGGCTGAAGGGAGAGTTAAAGAACGAACTTTGGAAGAAACACCAACTTGGGCTGTTGCAGTTGTGTGTCTTGTGTTACTTGCTGTTTCAATCTTAATTGAACATATTATTCATGTTATTGGAAAGGTAAGCTAAGCACGGTTCATTTTATACAAAAACAATCTCAACTATGAACAAATATATAAAGATACAGACACGGACATCGCACTGACGACTCGACATCAATCTTAAATTAATATGTTGGTGTCATGTTGTTCGTGTTATATCGGTGTCAGATGTTGATCACATGTTCTAACGGTTTTGTTCTAATTGTAGTGGTTGAAGAAGAAAAACAAAAATGCTCTTTATGAAGCTTTGGAAAAGATCAAAGGAGGTATTTGTGTAATCCTTGTTAAATTTTCCATTTTAATGTATGGACTTTGGAGTATATAATAATTATTTGTTATGTTTTGTTATGTTTCAGAGCTTATGCTACTAGGATTCATATCCTTGCTTCTAACTGTGTTCCAAGATAATATTTCTGAAATATGTGTATCACAAAAAATTGGATCAACTTGGCATCCTTGTTCCACTCCAAAGACAAAGTCTGAAACTAAATCTGATGAATCATTTGACTATGAAACCAATGATAGAAAACTCTTGGAGTATTTCGATCCTATACCTCGGAGAATTCTTGCTACAAAAGGATATGATAAATGTTTTGATAAGGTAAGACTGCGATTTCAATCTAGTCGTGACATAACAGTTTTTAATGTTGTTGAAACTGCAACGCAGCAACTAGGGTTTTAAATCGAGACAATGCATTAAGGTTGTTGCATTGTAAATATTGCACTTGTTACGCTGCGTATTGTGGTCATTATTTATCTTATAATCACATTTCTTTCATTTTCATTCCATTTTGTAGGGTCAAGTTGCTTTAGTTTCTGCATATGGAATTCACCAACTCCATATATTCATTTTTGTGCTGGCACTATTTCATATCCTTCAATGTATAATAACATTAACTTTGGGAAGAATCAAGGTATATATTTCCATGCATTTATTTTTCTAACTCA